GCAGTATAAATCTCTACATGGCTAGGCAAACGCAGAAAACTTCAGTAGCTTCCCTTTGTCCAGCACTTTGCACAGGTCTTTGATTTCTGGGAAGTACTCAGCAGCTAACAGCCCAGAGGTGAGCAGAGGAGAATCTCAGCTTTTAGTCACTGGCAACAGGAGTACTTTAAAAGCAGAAACTGTTTACAGAGCCTACAATCCTTTGAGATCCATCTTTAAATACCACTGGAAGTTGTGTCTTTTGGAATATATGTGCCTGAAGTAAGGTATCTTCAAACCAGACTTAGTTCTGGAGACTTGGGTTAATAGCTGTGAACAAAGTCCTTTCCCACTCCACAGGCTAGCCCAGAGGCTATCCAGCAGAAAGGCAGCACTGTGGGAAATCAAATACAATGGACTTAATTAAATCCTGGCAGTTTTAACTAAATAGACTTCGTTTTCTAGCCCACTGCAACAGTGTGATCTACAAAGAGGAGTGAGGCAAAAGTAATGCCCAAGAAAAGAAAGCAAAAAAAAAAAACCAACACATCACCAACTTCTAACACTGACTGCAACAGGAATATGTGTGCACTCCTCTTCCTGCGAGGAAGTTTATGAGCTCTTCTGTGCCATGGTTAGTCTCTATAAGCAGGAACAGGTACAGTTTAAAATCTTTATCACTCACCAAACTGGCTATCAGGTTCTGTATGGAAAATGTTTCCTTTTCATTGGGAAATACATTTTTCCCAAGAAAAACAAATATTATCCAGGGTGAGAAATAATGAAAACAACCACTCATGAGGTGTCAGACAAAGGCACCAAACAAGCACAGATTCCATAGGTCTCACTTTCTGCCAGGTCTTATCTCTGGCATGGGATCAGAATTTTTCACATTACGTCAATGTTTAAAATTCAGTTACTATTTTCAACATGAATGTATGCAAAAATAATTCTAGTTATTGGATCGAAGGCTACTTGATATGTCTAAAAGTCATGCAAAAACAGCAGTTAAACAGCACCTGAAAGTTTTAAGAAAGTTGAGATGCTAAGCACGGAGAAATGGCTGGCTAGACACCTGGGTCCAAAGTTTTCTGAAATGATAAACCATCTTTTGAGGACCTTACCCTCCTGCAAGGTGAAAAGATAATATTTCCTTCATTTCAGGTTAGTGAGTGAACTGAAGAGAATTTTGTTCTGTTCAATAACCAGGTCATTCAAAACTAAGAAACAAACTAGGATTTGAAAAAGCAGGAACATTTGTTTTCCTCTGTCACTGAGTGAATTAAACTTGGTTTGAAAAGATGAGATCTATTAGTTCTAAAATCAGGTTCTATAATCACTTCAATTTCCTCCATATATATATATATATATCTTTTCCTTCATTTAACAAGTCATTTTTAATGCAAAACCTGCTTAGAAAGGCTTGCCTTTTTTTGTTCCAGTATATTTGGGAAGTCAGGAAACTTACGGTCATTTTATATAATTAGCACGAATAAATTGCAAATACTGTTTTTAATTGAATTCTAATTTCCATTCAAATACAACTTGACACAAATCACACAGAAAAAAAAGTTAATAATCTAATAAAATAATAATATGGACTCATCATTCATTATTTTCCCATATAATAGTATGTAAAGACAAATTACGTTTAACAACATAATTGCTTAAATAAATGTGCACAGATGCAGTTCACCTACTTAGCAAGAAATGAAATAACCACGCTTACTGTAAATTTTGTATTTGTCTAAATACTTACTATCATCCTAAAATTCAGCCTTTTAGAAAAGAGCCAAATAGTGCAAATGTAAAACTGGTTAATCCAGCTTGCTTTTTTCAATAATGATTGAAACTGACCATTAAACTCAGTTGTACTTTTATTGTTACACTGAGAGGGGGTTCATTCCTTGTTCATAATGGTGAAAATTTCTACTTGCTCTGATTTCCTTCAGCTTCTGACACCACTGAGCAACAGCTCTGGTGAAGGCTTGAATGAGCTGACTCAAAACTTCTGTAACAAACTGCCAAGGGCCACGCACTGGCTTTGGTGATGGTGAATCCTCCAGATGCAGACCAGCAGCCTGCTGCTCATTACTGGCTACAGCAGCCAAGCAGCCTGTTAGGCACATCTCTGGCTGCCCCAGTGTCCCAAAAATGGAATATGATAATCACTCACATGGCTGCTGTGTGATTGTTATGATCCCGCATAAAGGAATAATAAAGGAGACATTTTCTGTGAGGATGGAAATGTGCCAAATAAGCACATAGAATTGCTGCAGATGAGGGACAGAGAGGATGAGGAACGACACTGAGTTCCATATTCTGCACTTCTGAAGTCAGTCTTGCTTCTGCAAGGAGGCTGCAAGCCTCTACTTAAGTTGAGGAAGTGGCAAAAGTAGGTGTTCACAGGGCCTCCAAATCTCATCAACTGTTTCCCTTATCTAAAAAGAGATAATATCTTCTCATCATGTTAAGGAATTTGGAACAGCAAAAGGCGTTACTACTATTCCCTGAGACCAAATGGCTGAGGGTGATGGATGATCAGATGAATGATCCCTGGAACTGACAGAAATAGCAGGGGGAAACAGGAATCACATGAACTATTACCAGGTTTCCAATGGAAGCTTCACTAACAATAACTTTATGATGCTGAAGAAGGCAGCTCATGGACCTGAAAGCACAGTGAACTGAGGAACCCAGAAATGGATGGGACTGAAGGAAATAATGCCTTCCTTAATTAGCATAAGTGCTACAGCAAGAGCAGTCAATTGGCAATCCCTGTCCAATTTCCTTAGCAAGGGGTGGCATTCAGGCTGCCACGCGCTGTGACAAAAAGGGACTTCCTTTATAGAGACGAGTTACACAGTCTTCCCAACAATTCAGTTTCTGCCTTTTCTTTTGAGGCTGAATGAAGGAACAAATAAGTTTGGCTGTGACGAAAATTTCGGTGATGTAGATATGTGCTCACTGACAGCAAAGACTGTGCTTTATATCTGAGTTAAGCAACAGCTGTCAGCAGATGTTAATAACTTTTGATCTCCATCAACTCTATTGGATTTAACCAGGCCAGCTGCTTGTACAATTAAAATTGCCCACTTCAGTCTTTCAGAGAAATGGAGAGCTTAGGGCAACCTTTGGCCCTTCTTCGTAGGGGTAGGATTACCCTGGACTCCCCAGGAAGATCTATCCAATTTTCTGATCAGCAGACTATCCTTGTGATGAAAGTTGGGGAGACACCTATTTGTTGTATGAACTGCATGAAAAAATAATGTGCTCTGTTCTATTTTTTCAAAAATATATATATTTCAAAAGCATTTTGTTTAAGATGTAACATTCAAATCCCTGCCCACCAGGGAACGTGAGCATATGCTTCACTTAAGGTGGACTGCAATCTGTAAATGCAACACCCAAATGGGCTGGGGCACAAGAAAGGGGACAACAGTATGAACTCGCTGAACTTGTGTGTGCCAAAGGTACAGGAACAACTTCTTCCCTCTGACTTTGAAGTGCATCTTCCTCTATCAGCTCCCTCTGCAAACAAATGTAGTTAGAGCCATGGAAAGTTGACTTCAGTGGAGTTCTCGAATGACTGACATTAACAGTATTCAACCAGTTTCAAAGATCAAGTTCAGGTCATAGGTGCACTGGCAGCTCCATGTTTAGCTAGGTATGATGGCTATGGAAGGTCAGTTTCTCTCTGAAGTAACAGACAGAGGTAGCATGTCAGATTACATGGAGAGCAGCAATTAATTAGGATCAGATGAAAAACACAGAATTCACAGAATTGTAGGATTCAGTTTTGTAAAAAATGGGGTACATGGGTTTAAAAATTTGACATCGTGGTGTCAACAGTTTTCATTTTCTTGGAAAGCAATCCAAGAACAATCCTTTCAATCCTTTTTTTTTTTTTTTTTTTTTTTTTTTCCTTTAAGCATATATTTAATCAACCCACAAGTTAAGTATTGGGCTAGGAATCTGGGTGGACCTTGCAGAAACTAAATAAAACCCGTATGTGAAAAACTTATTCTCCAGTCAGCATGAGTTTAAAGAGAAGGCAAGAAATGCACAATGAGAAGTACATTAATTTTTACATATTTTCTAGTTGCTCTAGCAAAGGCCTGCTACTAGTACAGAGAAAGAAAGCAAAATAAGATGATTTTTATATTCAGTGCTACTTGCATAATGCTCTTGCAAAATAAAGCTAGGAAAAGTGGTTCTTTTGACATAGTTAGACAGCAAAAGTCAAGACAGGCTGTGTTGGTCCAGTCTGGTCTTCTGCATGACTTTTCTGAGGCAACATTCTCATATGAGATGAAGCAATGCAACTCCACAGACTGTAGTGTAAATGCACAGTTTATGAACACTGAGAACCCCATCCCATTCTGCTTACCACAATGAAACCTTTCTAAGGAATTCATTAGCACAGGGGAAATGTAAATATGGAAAACTTCAGTGGTGGGTACAAGCAAAGGGTTCAAAACCACCTGAGATAAGGTTCAGCTTTGACACGGGCTTCCTGCATGACCTTGTGTACATCTTCTCTGTGCTGAGTTCCTCACAGATTAAACTGATCCCTGGGGGATGCCGTAAGGGTACGTGCTCCGAAGAGTATGAGGCACTGAGATCATGAAAATATTTTAGAAAAGCAGGAAAAGGTGAAGGACTCTAAACACTAACAAGACCGTGTGCAGTGTTGTCAAGTGGGTGCACACAAGCCAACTCTTCTGTAAGGATGTGCCATCCTGATATTCTTCCTTTACTGCAAAGAAAAGGAGCTCTAAAGGCAGCTAGCTTATCTTCCAGGAAACCAGCAGTGAAAAGCAAGCCGCTTATCTAGTCCTGTGAACCCCCCTGCTTCTTTCCCTTCAGCAGCAGAGAGCACGATAAAAGCTGAGATGAGTCTCTGTAGGAACCCAAAGCTGTGAATCTTCCTCTCACCCTGTCTGGCCAAAATCCCTTCATTCGCAGGGGGAATTTAGGCCAGAGATCACCGGTTCTAGCTCTCCGCCAGAATAACAGAGGAGAGGGTTAGCAAGGAAGAAAAACAGCCATAACTCAGCAAGTACAGTCAGAAAGAAAGGAGCTGGAGATGCAGAAAATATGTAGTCCTCTGCTATGTTTCCAGCTATATCCCCACCCTGCTGACCCTTTCAGATTTCCCCCACTATGACACTGGGTGATATTTGTTTGCTTAGAAAGAAGGCTACTATGTACCTTTTAGAAGAAAGGAGCCTGGAAGATGAATAGCTTTCTGCTCCCTTGGAGAAGGGCTGCACCTCATCCCATCCCCCACCATCTGCAGGTCCAGTTCCATATTAGTAAGACACTGTTAGATATCCTGGGATCCCCAGTACCATCTCACCAAGGGAGACTCAGAAGTGCCAGGAGAGCTGGCTTGCAGGCCCTAGCAGGACCTGGGACTGGAAAGGCCAAGTACAGAGCTTCTTTTCCTGTTCTCCATCCCATATACAAAAAAAATAATTAGAGACAGGAGAAAATTAGAAGTAAAAACAAAATCGGTGCAGCTGAAGTTTGAGATGGTTAAAATGAAAAATGGGACTGTGTCACTCATAAGTGGATAGATAGATCAATCAATTGATCTCGTCTGTACTGACACAGTTTGAAGCTATAATTCACTGCTGGGGCAATTATTCCAGCACAGCAGGGGTGGGGGTTATATCAGAGACAGAATCCAGGTGCTTTCAGTCAGTGAAGAGTTGGACAGCAGAAGGTAAAATTCATAACTGCCATCCACCAGTAAAGATGCATGGGATATAAACTACGTCCACACAGTTGCAGAGTGGAAACTGAGAGACAGACATAGAAATAGACACGTAGAAGTCTGAGGTGTGGTTGTGCAAACATTTGCTGTCTCACCTTGCCCTCCTCTACTCTCTGCTTTTCTTAGAGAGCAGTGCTCAGCATCACTATGTCCCAGTTCTCTTTGCCATCTTGCTCTTGACTTCTTTATCCCCCTGCACTAAGTGGTGCTGCGTCTGCAAGGTGTGAGGAATTTTTCTTCATAAGCCTTGATGTGCTCAAGAGAAGGCTGGGCTCATCTCTGCAGTGAGCCTGACAGGGGCTTTAATAGCCTCAGAGCACCGGGACAAATAGCTTCTGGTCCCTTAACCCTGCACAGCTTTGCAAGGCAAGGCCTGGCACTGTTGTTCCCATCGTGAGGGCTTTAGGCAGTCTTTCAGGCTGAAATCCTCTCTGTGGTGGCTGGGCAGAGCGGAAATCCAGGGGCTGGATCAGATTGTCCTAATGCTACAGCAGCTTAAGCGGTCTGTTTTACCAGAGATTATGGTTTCACTTACACAGAGCGCCTGAAAAATGCCACGGTTTAGGAAGGATTATAGCTGAAAATTCCATGCTTTAAAAGAGAAATAAAGCAGGGGAGGGACTAGGAAACCCAACGTGCCCAGGGGCTGTGCAAACAGGATTAACCTCTGCCCACAGCACCTCTTGCTTCTGCCCACCCACATTTCCCACGTCCACCTTCTCCCCAACGGCTCCCTACACTTGCCGTCTCCTGCACAGCACAGAGAGCAGCAAGGAGACAGGAAAATGCCCAGAACCAAGGTCTCCCCAGTTTATTTTGCTAGATCTGTACGCTCTCTTGCCATCTGATGACAAGTAGATGACAAGTAGATGACAAGTAGAGCCAGAAGAGAAATAGCTTTGGGGGTTCTCCATCTACTGACTGGGCACTGGCTTACAAGGACTCACTTGCAGGACTGTAGGACAGTATCCAGTAGTAAAAAGCAGTGCCTGAACCCTGATGTGCTGCTCACTCTGGTTACACTAATTAACTGTGCAATAATCACCACAGACTCCAGCTTCTGTCCATCACATCCCTAAGAAAAGTTCCTTGCGCAACGGAACTTCCAGTGGCAAAAAGGGAGAAGAAACAACAGTCCCCACTGAGCATACCAGAGGCTTCCAAAACATAATCTAAACAAATGGGAACTGCACATCTTTTGGCCATAACTGATCCTTACTAGTCAAATAACCCATGACCATATGTCTTTGCTGCAAAGGAGTCTCACAGCTCATGGATCCTTGCCGGCCATCTAGGTTAGAGGCACTTGGAGGAAAACACAGATGGAAAATTATCATTTTTGCTAGGTAACAAACCTTTGGAAACAAATCCCTCAGGATAAACAGTATTCACAGACAGAAACTGCCCAGCCCTTAATTGTTTAGGTGAGCACTGCAGCCTCACAATAACGTGCCTAGAGTCAGTTAAAGCCAGTTCTACTTTAATGAGGCCAGATTTATCATCTAATTATACGTCTCGTTTATATCTCTGTATAAATCAAAACCACCACAACTAGCTTATATAGCATTGGCAACACTTGCCATTATGGCAGGGAGATGGCTTTTATTAATTGGCTTTGGGTGGTTGGTTTGAGAGATGATTTGGACCGTGTGCGAGCATGTCATCCATGCTTCTCTTTCAGGTGTTTAAGTACAGGTCTCCATTGCTGCTGACCCAACAGTGCAGTACCACGCTCTAGGTCACAGAGTTCTACAATTCCCAAAGCTGTTACCTGGGAGCTCAGTTAGGAGTAACTTCAGAGCTGTATCTATTGTGCTTGTGCAAATCTGCACATCAGAAATGGAGGTCCAATGCAAACAGCAGTGAAAATGAGACCTTGTATAAGTTTCCAACATTTTCTCTCCTCAATTCTATCTGTTCATCAGCCTATCTAGTCTAGAAACACTGTACTCTAGGAACTACCAGAAGGCAGTACTGAGCGCATGCCACTGTAAGAACGATCAATTGATTATTTACCTATTTATTTACCTATTTAATGGCACAGCTCAGTTTTTCATTTTAACCACCGCAAACTTCAGCTGCACCTCTTTTGTCAAAGCTTTTAAGGAGCTTGATTTGACAAGCTTTGGCCATTACATCGAGCATCCTCTTTAACAGATGCCCATAACCATGCTGCTCTCCTGGGGAAGGTAACCTTGGGTTTGAAGAGACGAAGGGGTATAATTCCCTGGGCCAAACTGTGTGAGCATAGCATCATCATGTGAGCAAGAGAAAGCAGCAGGAAAGGGAGCACAGAAGCTTCAGAGCATTCTTCTCCTTCCCAACCCTATGCTTCTTCCTGTCCTCCCTCTCCCGCATGTTCACTCCCACACTTCCCTGCATCCCATTCCTCCCATCTGCCACCGCACTCCATTTTCTCGTACCCTGCTGCCCTGCAGAGGCATCACTGCAGTCAGAGCCTAGCCCCCGGGTGCATTTACTGCTGTTGTCTCAGCACTGGCTCCTCTGATCTACTCCTAACCTTTTTTATTTTTATTTTTGTTTTTAAATTAGTTTCCCTGTAGATTTTAACCACTTCATTTTCATTTACCCATTTTGTTCTTCCTCTCCTCCCTTCCCACCCTCCTCTTCCTCCCCCTGTTCCCTTTGTCTGTCTGTGTCCATCCCTTACCCTACCACAGAAAACCTCTCCTCTCCCCTCAGTATAAAGCAAGAGCCTCATGGAGCCTCTCTCACCCCTTTCACCCCCACCACGCCGGTCGGCTCTGGGCAGGCTGAGCTTCAGCCCTTCCACATGACCCTTTCAGACGATGCGTCCACGCCTTGCTACAGTGCCTTCCTTCATCATGGTGCCCACTTTGGGCAGTCCAGCAGCCAGCCTCTGATAGCAGGTAACCGGCCTTGGCCACGAACTCAGCGGGGATGCTGCAGGCAAGGGGGTCAGTTTCACCTGATGGGGAGACCAGTAAATGCTGCAAGCTCTTTGAGTGCAAGTGGGAAGCAGAGCAATGATGTTCTGGTTCTGTGTATGCAGCATGCGTTCTCAGCTCCATGGAGAGTCACAGGGAGATTTCATGCCTGTCCTTCATTTTTGCAGAATAAAATGGGAAAAAAAGCTGTAACACCATAGAAGGCGTCCCACCTGGATGGGCTTGGGGCTTAGTAGGGAAATATTTGTACAGCAAAATCCTGCACTGTCTCCATTACCATAATGCCCCTGTGTTCAGTGGGCCCAGCAAGGCTTCTGTGCATTAGCCTAAGGTAGATGACTGAAGCTTGACTAAGTTAGCCAGCCCTGAGACTGCTAGCATGGTTGTTCAGCATGGCTTGTGAAAGCTACCAAGCGAGAGCAGCATGTAGTCAGTAGGTGAGCAGCACCCCAACTACACCGTGAGCTGCATTGAGGCAGCTGCTTCACTGGCACCTTCACGTGATAGACCAGGCAGTCGAGACAAAAGGCATGGTCTGTATGTCACGACCAGAAAGGTTAGAGACTCCGAAGTCTTACAGTCAAGTGCATGCAGACCTGTGGTGGTGGCCTTCAAGGGAAGGACAGAAGTAGGTGGCAAAAATGGAGAACTTAGGAGCAGCAGGCTGGAGGGGAGAAAGGAGAGTGGAGTTTAAGGTAGGTACAAGGGGAGTTCCTGTGTGAGGTGACTGAAGTGTCAGTGCTGCAGAAGTTCAGAGGTGGCTTGGATGAAATAGTGGCAATCTTTTTAGGTGAGAGTGTTGTCACTCCACTGCCAAAGAACGTAATTTGGGCAAGTTCTTCAGAGAGCAGACCACAGTTCCACAGTGCTCAAGAAACATATCTTACCTCTGCCTCTTTCACGTTCCTATCATTTTTTTCTCTTGTGACCTAACATCCTGCCTTTGTCTTCTTAGATGATACTTGTGTTTCCAAACCTCCCTGTAGGACAGTAGAAAGCAACTACAGAAAATAATTTTGTGTTCATAACACTGTCCAAATCTTACTGCAGCCAGTAAGAGCCCCTAGCTCCAGGTATTCCTTTAAGCAGGGCTTATACTGACAGATTCTCTCCAACAATGTGGTTCAGTGGGAATGCCGTCATATATGACCTCCCCCTAAGCTAGAAGGCACTGTTTTTCAGGAGAGGAACTTGCTTTAGGGCCTTTATGGAGAATTAGACTTAGAAGAAAGTGTTCAAAAGCTCAAAGAAAGGCAGGGTGACGAAGATGCAGTTCTCACTCAGAAGGCTCTAGGAGAAAGAAGTGTGACTAGAACTGGAAGCACACTATTAAGCAGGACAAATGCTAGTTTTGCCATAACCCTCCAGTTCAAGAATTTAATAATCTTGTTTACCTGGTAGTAACGAGAGGAGGCAATGGAAGGGGGTTGCTTCTATGTAGCAGTACTTAAGAGTCCCTCTGCAGGACTCTTACTCACGTTAGTGATACTGTACTTGTTTGTTATCTACAAGATTGGGATTTTGACAGATGATCACTCCCCAGCAAATCTTCCACACTGCATTTTGAATATCAGCCTCTGTAAGCTCACATCTGAATAAAAACACAGGGGCGTATGCGTGCAGATCAGGTAGCAGAGTGAGTGTGTACGTATTCCCACTTGAATGGAAGTGTCAAAGTGAATTAATTGTGCCTGTTACTACATAATGTTCTCTCTAACTTTTCAGTGACACTGTTTTCTCACTCATCACCTGCCGTTACATCTCAGACTAGTGAATATAGAAAACCAAAAATACATGAATTTGAAGCACAAAAATTTCTTCCCTTAAAAGAATGTGAGAAAAAAAGAACTACATCTAGTAGGCGTTAGTCATACTGCTTAATGTGCATCTACAAATCACTAAAGCAACGCCGGTGATTTAGAAGAGTAGAAGAGTGTAGAATATAAATCCTCAAAGCATTATATATTTATTTTTATCACTATTGGGGAGTGGCTGGAAAACGGCTCGATCTCTGTCTAGCAGTTCTGTGGCCATTATCTCAGACAAAGTGAGCTGGGAACGTCAGCTGTGGCTCAGGAATGTCTTCAGGGAGAAAGAACTTTTCTTTTTTCTTGAGCAAATCAGCTCAGCAACCTTTAGTCAAGATCTACAAAAGCAATGACACTGCTTTAGCCCATCTAATTCTGGAGAAATTTCCTCCCCCAGGGGTAATTCTCCATGTTGATTTTGTTTTCACTCTGCCATGTAACCGTTACTTATTTCTGACACCCCTGATAACATCCATACTTGTTCCAGGGCCTGCTTATCAGTTACTGTTCTGCCCTAGTCAAGCTAAAGCAATTCTTATTCTTCCCATCACACATCCAGCACAATTCCAGTGATTCCACTGGTGTCAGTGGGACATCCTTAAACTGTCGCACTTCCAAAGGTAAATCAGGCTCCAGCTCTCTAAGAATAAGTATCTCTTCAGAAAGGAGCAACAATTGGCACAAACGTCTTGGTGAGCAACAGCTCACCTAAGGAACATAAGGAACATGAAAGGCTTTGGATGGCAGAACAGGCTGAGATCTCAGTGGACAGTGCTGGATGTTGAGCTGTAAATCTCCCAGCAGCTGCAGGGGAAAGATTATCTTAATTTATTTAGTCTTTCTTTTTTTTTTTTTTTTTTGATTTGGTTTGGTTTGGTTTTGGCTTGAAACTCCCAGCAGCTTTTGAGATGATTTCAGTTCATTTAAATGCAATAAGCACTAACAGCAAAATGCCCTTCTGGCTGGCCCATTTTCTGGCTAACCAGTCCAAATGAGGAAATGCCTCTGGCATCAACCAAGAAGCCTCCAGCTGCACTTCCTATGAGATGAAAAATAAACTACCATCATCCACTTGGCCCACACCCCTTTCTACATCATCGGTGGAGAGAAGATACCAAGACTTGGAGAACTACTAACAAAAACTTGGATCTGTGATAAAAATGAAGTGAGACTCAAATTAATTTGCACAATTCCATTATTATATATTACACCAGCACCTGGAAGGTGTCCAACAAGTATTGATCTCACGATAAGCACTGTGCAAATGTACTGGGAATGTGCCCTTGCACCAAAGAGTTTGCAGCATAAAAAGAAGCACAGACAGGTGAAGTGACTTGCCTAAAAGTATCAGCACGTGAACGGCAAGAGGTGGGAACAGAGACAGGCACAGAAAACACTTGGATCACTTTCTAGTGCCTTACACATCAACCATGCCCTTAGGCAACATCACCATGTTTTTGGAACTGCATCGACTGCTTGTAGAAGGGACCTCAGCTACTCTGGCAATTAATGTGCTGCCATTCTTTGTGAAGCTTAGGGCCATTTTGATTTAGCTAAAACAGATCCAACATTTCTAATGGGCTAAAAAAATTGACAGTGAAAACAAATTCTTTTGAGCCTCACTGTGCTAAGTTTTAACATTCATCCGTATAGTCTGAGACCAAAAGTGCCACAGTCTTTCCCCAAAATTTTCAGTGTAAGGTCAGCATATATGTGCCACAGGCCACACAGCACTTGCCCAACAAACTGCTAGTCAAATGGTGGTGGGATAAAAAGTGATATCAAATCAATATTGAATGATCCTATCCCTTCTGATCCCCTGTTCCAATTCTTTCCTTTTTCAGGTCGTGATATGGCAAGCACCACCTTGCCTGGCTACCCACCCCATGTTCCCCCAACTGGACAAGGCAGCTACCCAACCTCAACTCTGGCAGGAATGGTTCCTGGTAAGTCCAGAATTCAGTAATGGTGCACATGTGTTTGAACAGTATACCAGCAGTGTAACAGCTTTCACAGTTGGCTTTGTTATTGCTTTGCTGCCACTGAAGTCTATTCTTTTCACAAAGAATATGTCAGCTGCCTATAACCAAAGTAGCTCACCACCCATTTTGCACTGTATGTCTTTCCCCTGGTAACTGATTCACTGCTGCTATGGGCAACTAGCTATCTATAACCTGTGCCAATTAATTGGTAATTAATTAACCTTAGTATTCATTAACTAATGTAATTATTTTTCAATGATCCGTGCAGATTATTATGTACTGCTCATGGCTCGGGATATTCAGCCATTCACTAACTTAGGGTAACAACTTACGTCTGTTTAAGGGCAGGACTTCAAACTGCAAACCATCAATGGTAATTTAAGACCTGCAGTTTTTGGAGACCTACTGTCCACAGCCTGAACTAGCTAAGAGCTCAGCAATGATTAACAGCATTTCAGGAGAAACTAACTATTCACTTTCAACAGCCAGCAACTTACCCACTTTCCGTTTATATGACAGCGCCTCAGCTCAAGAAACTATCTACCTAATCCTACATTGCAAGGCAAACTGTTCCTTTGCCACTCAAATCCTTGGCAGAAATACATTCTTTCGGCAAATGTCTTGAGTAATACTGCCCAGGGTATGGGGAGCTCAGGGGATCATTTACCCTTGAAAAATTGAGGAGGTTATTCCCACAGTCTCTACTCCCCAGTTCTCAGATGACAGCTAGCCCAAGTAGATAAATGGAGAGGCAGGATTTTCATTTCTCAGCCACAGTAGCTCAGGACTCAGGACTTCATCTGCCACTGATTTCTGTTTATGGGAGCTGCAATAGCTAATGAGCGGGTAGAGGCTGTTCTGCAACCTCTGCTACCAGAGGAATGACTCAGACAGTAACTGCTAAGTGTAGCAGCAGAAAGTTGATAACAGAAAGCTTTTAGATCACTGCAAAACGATTTCCAGAGTTTGTGAGTCTAATTTAACCGTCATCCAAACCTTGAAACAGCCAACTAAACAAGCACATGCTGCAGAGCACAGTTAATCAGTGAAAATATCATCAATAGGGAATGTTTGTAGGTCAGCCTTAACACCTTTAAATGACAAATCACTGCTTGTATATCACAAAGTATGGTTAATACCTATGGTCACATTCCACAGCTAGCAAAATGCCTACTACTGCAGAGATCCTAAGACATATAAAAAACTCTTGGATTATGCTGTGACCTCCAGATCAGGCAAAGATAGTGAATGGGTACCCTCTGTAACCCCCTATACTGTAGTCCCTCAGTATAGATGACTGCTGAATTTTTGGGGTGCTGCAGAGTTTGCAAAACTCAGGGCATCCCCTTCTACAGTTTTTCAGAGAAATGATTTCAACTTCACTTGGCTCCAGAGTCAGAGGATATAAATCAATTTTAAAAAGCACTCTGTAACAGTAATCAGATTCAGTTCACAACATACATGTCAGCTATAAGTTCATAGGTCACGCCATGCAGACGTGATTGGTAGCACCAAAACAGATGACTCTTTGAATACTTATTTCTAAACCACAGGCTCTTCTCAACTTTTAATACATAAGATCTCATGTTCAGTGTCTACTATGTAATTTTAACACCCTCAATACAAGGGTGATAACTGACACCTAAACTGGGACAAAGATTTTGAGACTGCTAATCGCAGGGATCATTTATCCAAGAACAGATTTGTTGCAGAGGCTAATTAGCATAAGACAAGAGTGTATCTAAAAACACACAGATACTGAAATTTTAAAACCCCCCAAAACTAGGAATAGAGTGATGAAGAAGAAAGTTGAGTTATGTATACTCCAAAGAGATTATTATTCAAGTCTAACAGACATCTTTACATTAAAACTGATGCCCAGATTCAGTCACAGAAAGTCTTCCTATGGCCCGCTCGGGCATCCTGCATTAGTTACTGCATCTTTCCACATAGCACCGAGCCCTGGCTGTGCTGGTCAGGCCCCACTGGTCAGCCCCAGCCTGGCAGCCCTTCTGTTCCTGTCTTCTTATGTGACGGGAGCCAACAAGCTGGAGATAAAGAGGCTTCCTGGGGAGAAACATAAGATCAGCTTTAATGGGCCACACCGCAGGTCTCTTCAGCCAGTGCTCTCTGTCAGAGGCCAAAAGTGAATCTTGGGAAGAGCGTAAGAGTAAAGCAAGCCAGTATCAGCACTTTCTCGAAAGATCTCTCTACCTCCAATGAGTTGCAGCTCACAGACTTTCTCAGACACTTAGTATCTTCCCGTTTAATACTAAACACTCTGGACAGAATTCCCTTCCACAATCTCAAGCAGTGCCTCCTGAACCAATATAAGCCTTTAATGTCTGTAGCAGCCTATGGCAAAAAGTTCTGTAGCTCAACTGAGTGTTGTGTGACAACTACTTCCCTTATTTGTTCTGAACGCACCACCTGCTAGGCTCACTTCATGCCTCATAGTTTCTGTATTAGAAGACTGAACGTACCAAGATTTAAATACAGATACCAAGAAATACTGTTAGTAAAGGTTCCCAGAGTGCAGACTACACAGAATATGGGCCTCATGAGATCGATCCGCTGTGCTTGCTGCTAAGCGTCCATGCTGAAAAGGGAAAACAAAGCAGCACGTCACCAGTGGTTTGCTATGTGCCTATGGGCCAAAAGACCAGGAGCCAGTGCTTTACGTATATCAGAAATATGAAGCAAGGGATTATCTTTAAGGGACGTACTGACAGGAAAACCAACATCATTGTCCAGCTATAAGCAGAAGTGAGAAAGAAGCTCTATTTTCCCCACATAAAGGCTCTAAGCTAAAAGCAGAACCTGGACAGAAAGCAGAATTTCCAACTCATGCAAAATTCTGATTTTTTGACATTTGTTTTCATCTTGCATTGGAATGAGGAGTCAGAATCTTGAAATTGTTCAATTTGCAAACATCAGGATGAAACATTTCAATAATGACAACATGTTCTAGATGTCAGGACATATTAAAATAATAGAAGAGATGAAAGGAAATTAAATGAGATGAGAAAGGCAAAATGAAACAAAACAAGAAAGTTGAAACATAATACTTTGTTTCAATTTGCAATCATTTCAGAACTTTTCCTTCCAAAACTCCCCTGAGTTGACAAGCTCATGCAAAACATTTCCATTTCGATGAGACAGCATTTTCCAGCAGAAAGCAGTTACTGGGGAGATTGATCAGTGCCAACCATAGCTTCTCTGTTCTACCCATGACAGCCCTTCACTAGAGCTCTCCTCACGTGGTCTAGAGAAGAGCTTGTCTCCATTAGCTGTACATCCATGCAACACGGCCAGTCATGCATGCCAGTACCTTGGAGGTCGACCCACATGATGTGGCAAAATACATGTCCTGCATTTGCAGCTGCCCACAGTTTCAGGTTTTTGGATGGACATGGATGGAAACAAGCAGCCCCTGCAAACACACCTGAAAAACCTGTGTTAGTCACTCAGAGAAGGATGAAATCTGTGCATCTGAGAAGTGCTTCCTGCAAAGGTAACAGAGCACTCTGATCCCTGCTCACTTCTTCCACTTTCCCAGAAAGGCCATCAAGATTCTGCAAACAGTTTTGGTGAAGTGAGCATTCTCTGAAAGGAACTGCAGTTTTCATAGAGCAGCACAGAGCCTGCAGAGGGCTGGTGATGGCAACGGCAGGGAGTCGTTAAACAGAATCCAATGTTGATGAGGAAATTACACTTGTTTCATTAGTGATCAGGGAAGGCGATAGCTCAGTTCCTCTTGGTCACAGTTGAGCTCAAAAGCTCATTATCCTGCTGCATGCATGCTTTCACTCCTCGTCAATAAACACTGTTTCCAGTGGCTGCCCTCTCTCCTCCCTGGTTCTCCATAGCCGGGGCTCTTTCTCCTCTACTTAACCCAGGCTTTAGGAATTGCTATAAACAGTTTAGGGTGACAACTAGAAAGAAAGTGAGACAGAAACCTTGAAACATCAGAACTTCTCGATGCAGAGAAGTTAACTCTTTGTGAGGCATTTCAAAGCAGAAATTCTCATCTGCGTTGTTTTTTTTTCCTTCCTGGGGGGTCAAATTCATCCAACTATACTGCACAGGTGATTAGTGGTAGAGGTAAACCTGGACTGCATGTTGCTTTTTGCCTTTGTATCCTACTCCAGGGCATCTTAGTCACCACAATTGGCTCCACCTATTCCTTCCCAGCTACCTGTTGGGATTTTCAGTGCAAAATGTTTCTAGATATGGAAACATGCTGAATTATTGTCACTAAAACAACATTTATTAAGGTCTGTCATACGAAATACATTTTTATGCTGAAACTAAAAACTACTGTAAAGGAGCTTTGGATGGTAATTGGTTTTGAAACACACACATGCTACTTTGGTTATTGTTCTGAGCACTTTAAAGGACCCAGCCAGACAGATCCTCCTTGAGTTTAAATCACTGCAAATACCCCAGCTTCAACTGACTTCACTTCTGCCACGTGAGAATACAGGTTTTTGCTTTAACTCTCCTGTGAAGGGAGATTTGCAGGTATAATTAATTGACATTTCTTCAGTAATTGCAACACAGGCATCCAGTGCATCTTGCACTGCCTCCTTTTCCTATTCCATGGCATCTAGCAGGGACCCCAGCTGCTCTCCCAACACTTCTTTGTTCTCCACACACCCTTTGGAGCAGACCAGAAGCTATGTCATGCTGTTCACTCATTGCCTTTTGAGCACATAATGCCTTTCAGACGTCACCCATTGCCCATTGGTACTGCATCAAATTGAGTCAGATAATGACTTTTTTTTTTTTTTTAAAGTTTTGGGAGATTTATTTATTTTGAAAGCAATACCATACCTACTCAGTTCCCAAACATAATTCCCCTAGCCCTGCACAGACATCTATAAAACAAAGAGATCCAGTTCCTTATGCACAATAAAATATTTAAGACAACTACAACATTCAGATCTTGGTTCACGGAATCACAGAATGGCCAGAGTTGGAAGGGACCTCAAGGATCATGAATCTCCAACCCCCCTGCCACATGCAGGGCCACCAACCTCCCCATTCAGTACTAGACTAGGCTACCCAGGGCCTCATCCAGTCTGGCCTTAAACACCTCCAGGGATGGGGCATCCACAACCTCTCTGGCAGCCTGTTCCAGCACCTCACCACTCTCTCTGTAAAGAACTTCCCCCTGACGTCCAACCTAAATCTCCCCTCCCTCAACTTAAAACCATTTCCCCTCATCCTACAGTTATCTACCCTTTCAAAGAGTTGATTCCCCTCCTGTTTGTATTCAAAGGCTGCAATGAGGTCACCCCACAGCCTTCTTTTCTCCAGGCTGAACAAGCCCAGCTCCCTCAGCCTGTCTTCATAGGGGAGCTGCTCCAGTCCCCTGATCATCTTCGTGGCTCTCCTCTGGACCCTCTGCAACAGCTCCCAGCTCCAGGTTCAGAGATCACAAAGTTCACAACTAGTGAGCTTTGGGCCTTATTTGCCAAATGTGAAGAGAGATCCACAGCCCAGCTTGTCTTCCAGATTCAAGACGGCACCTGATGTAACAACCATCAGAAATTTCTTTTCTGGAACTGGAATACAGAAAGTTTTCTCTGTAACTCACTGATCAATCATAAATGTGGGCCTCTGAATCACTTTCATGACTAACATCATCAAAGAACAAGAAAGAAAGAGTGATTCATATGTTTTCTATTTTGTTTTATATTTAATCCTACCCTGCTCTCTGAACAGCACCAATAACAAGCTCAAACAATATCCTTCTGTACCATCAGTACCGCAAAGACAAAACTTAGCCATACATACTACAGCAACAGCCCTGCTTGTTCTGAGGAGTTTACTTGTGTATCTTAAAGCTCTCACGCCACTTCTTGACACTGATTCTATTTAAAAGAAAGCTGATAGATGTAGAAAAAGCTTGCATATGCAATCATACTGTAATCTGAGAATCAGAAATCAGAAGGCAAAGAAAAATAAACCCGTTTGTTTATTATTTGTATGTTTGAAATATATTGTTTTAAACTAATTTCTTCATTCCGAGGTCAATCTCTTGATTTTTAATTGTACAGATAAGCAACACTGCACACAGAGTGCACAAAACCTATAGTGACCTGAAAGGCACGGCTCCAGCTGGGCAAGGAAGCTACATACACTAGTTTTCCTGATGGTATATGGACTCAACATGAACACGGGCTAGATGAAGCAGCAAACACACATCTTCTTTCTTAACTGTATTTCACAACTTCCTTGATTTCTTGCAGGGAGCGAGTTCTCAGGGAACCCCTACAGCCACCCTCAGTACACAACCTACAATGAGGCCTGGCGGTTCAGCAACCCTGCATTACTAAGTGAGTACCTCTTTGCCACCGCACCCCCAGCTTCGCGCTCCTTCTGTTTGTCTCTTTGTTTTCTTTTCTTTGTTTGTTTGTTTCTGAAAAAAGCTTTCAAGTCTTTGGCCAGACGAAGGGCCTTTTTCCTCACTCTCTAGTCCAGTGTCTAGATGGGTATATAGATCTCATGCATCGGTTCTGAAGCCAATTCTTCCATGAGATCGTTCAGAATTCCAGCTCAGTTCCGTCTCCTTGGGCTGCATCCACAGTTTAACCCAGATCGGATCAGAAGCTAAATTCAAGTTCTGCTACTCTCTCCAGCTGCAATTAGCATCCATTCAAGGTCCAATCAAAAACCTAGATGAGCTTTTACTCCTCTCCCAAGCTAACCCCAGAGGCTTTTGCTGGAGACCTGGAAATCCAGTGGGAGTTCTTATAAGACCGGGTGGAACACTATCTAGAATGGGAGATAGCCTTCAGCACTGCATCTTTAATTGCCAGTAGAGTTTCCTTGCAGGAATGTATCTATCTGTGGTGACTCTAAATACGACCAGAAAAATCAGATTTTTTCTGCAGAGGGGAAAAAATTTCTCATCATATCTTCTAACACAACAACTCTTTGCAAGAAAACAGGAAGATATTTATTATATGTAAAATAAATCAGCTGTGATTATTAACTATGTATTTACGGTGGTTTAACAACTGGATAATAGATGCACATTTTACTCCAGTGCCGTTAAACCTCAGTAAAAGCAATCTTAATAATCGATCACTATTTAACATACATTCAATAACTGTCTAGAGAGCTTTTCATCTGATGAAAATCCTAGGTGTTAAACAAAATAATTTTGTTCCCTTTCCTCTCCTGCCTTTAAAAACGGCCCACATACCTTACCAGACACACTCAGCATGTGCTGAGCACCTCTGCGGTGCCCTCAACACAAGCATGGGGTGTTTCTGTTCAGTGCTTGATGCTCCCCTCTCAGCTCCTCAGTGATGATCAGAAGGATCAAGAGCACCTTCCCACAGAGGGTCTTCACACCCAGGGGCCTTGTAACCTCTCTTCTCTGAAGCATGGCATTGGCCAGCCTCCACTGACTGCCACAGCCAAGTCCCCAGTGTTCGTTCTTTTGCTCCCTTTCCTTTTCCTCGTTCCCTTTTCTTTTGTTTTTAGTTCTCCTTTGTTCCTTTTCTTTGTTTTATTTTTTATTTTATTTTATTTTTTTTACTGTTTGTCCTTTCAACCAGTCCATTCTTCTCCTGTGTTAACTTTCAGGTTCCCCTTATTATTATAGTGCCACATCCCGGGGCTCCGCACCTCCCACTGCTGCCGCTGCCTATGACCGCCACTAGCTACCATGGAAACCACATGAAACTGCAGGGTGACAGCTTAGGCCTCCATATTGTACCTGTCTGACCCATCCCTCCGCCCCTGGGAAGGTGAAGAGAGCCTCGCCGTGCCTCCCCGCAGCACACCTCCCTCTCCACCGCTCCGAGCGCTCACCATACCAGCCTGAGAACCCCGTTCTCCCTGCATCCCCCTGCACCCTGAGGCACCTCAGGAGCCCTCAACAGCACCTCGGCACAGCTCGACCTCCTGCGCTCCCAAGACTTGAGGGGAACTGGCAGCCATTGCCTTGCGGGACCCCATTCTCCTGGGAGCGGTACGGGCAGGGGGAAGCAGGGAGACAGCTGCTCACAAAACACTGATCCCCAAAGATACGCTCCTCTGTGGTGAACTCTTCAGAATGCGTAACCTGTGACCGTCGCCCTGCTTCCCAGGACAGAAGGAACAGCCTGGCTAGAGCAGAGATGGTGGCACTAAGCCCTGCCTATCTGGCAAACATGAGAAGGACCAAGTGACTTTCTGTTACTCCCCACGCACCTCATCCCACCCCCCGGCATGGCTCCTGGCGCTGGCTGCGCCCTGCGCGGTGCCCTCGAGGCCAGAGCTGGGCTGAACCTCACTCACACCCACAGCTTCTGTGACACACAATCAGCTCAGACAGGAGGATGGAGCAACAATTACAAACCGACCGACGAAATGAAGAAATATATAAATAGATATATAAATATAACTGTGTTTTTATGCTTTGTCATGAAGGTCTGTAAAAAGGAAAAAAAAAAAAAAAAAAAGAACAAATCCCCAATTTTCTAAAAAACCCAAGCAAACAAAAACAACAACAACAAAAACAAAATAATAATTAAAAAACCCTACAAAAATAAAACGCCAAGTCTCACCCCTCCCCGCCACCCGAATGGCAGACCAGTTCCTCTGACGCTTGATGCTCCTCTTTCACTCTCGGGTTTTGTTTCCTTTCTGTTTTGCACTACAATGGGATGGTGGTATTGGAGAGGATTGGATGCCAGCTCCACCCCTGTCGCCTCCTCCTCCTCCCCTTTCCCAAATCCTGTCTCTGGGGAGCAGTGTGGACAAGTCACATCTGACAAAGTTACCAAACACATCAGTCGACAAAAAGCTCTCTGAGTCAACAAATGTTTTCCATGTCACTGGTTGGCAAACAAAGAAAACAAGCCCAGCTGCACTCTAACTGCGCTTTGTGGTGGAAAGGAAAGTGTGGGGCTTCACGTGGGCCCATCTGATTGCCCTTCGGACAGCTGAGACTGAGATGGACAAATTCAGGATTGGCTGGGATTGTTGCTTGGTTCCCTAGCCCTTAGGCTCCTCTCCTTTAACCCTAATCCCCGTACCCATGCCTACGTCCATTCACCCACATCCCAACTTTCCCAGTTTTACATATGTCCAGCACCCATTCTCCAGATCCCTATAGCCTGGTGACAACAGCCTCATTATCTGTATCCAACACCTAATTTCCTAACCACTGCAGCCTTGCAATATGGGCCCCTCTTCAATTTCCAGTCCATCTGCTCATATGCCTGATAATTTATGGGCTTACATTCAAATCCATATGCCCACATCCTTCCAGCCAGTCACAATATGCAACCTCATATTCAACCCTATATTGTGCACCCTAATATTTACCCCTTATCCCAAATGCTCACTGATGATTCTCTAGGGATTTTTCTGCTCTTTTTGGCTCCCAAGTGACTAGCAAACACTGTTCTGCAAAAGGCTAACTGTCAATAGAAATGCTTATTACTCCTGTATTGTCAGCAAACTCATAAACTGTTCCTTGCACTGACACTTCTTAAAAAATACTCAAAGAAAACATGAAGGCAGCTATAGCCTGTCCCCAGGGCATCAAGTCTGCCAAAGCAGATCCTTGTTGTTTTAGAGAGGTTTCTGATAAAATGAATGGGCTACTGTCCATGGACAAAGACAGGATTGAGAATCAAAACTCCAAAGGGCATAAAAGCAAATGGTACAGTCCGTATATCCAACATTATGTATGAAATCCAAAGTTCCCAGCCACTGAGATGTGGCTGTGGACTCAGCCTTCTGTTTTCAAGTTTAACTTGTATGTATGAAAGCCACCATCACTAAACAGCTGTGTTGATCCCGAAGGCCCCTTTCACCTAACACTTGTAGCCCTTGCATGGCTCTAGCTGATTATAGGTCTGTGTCTTCTTTAACGGAATGCCCAAATGAAAAGGGTATGGGGGGGAGGGGGGTGTTTACATAGAAGATGAAGAGCTACAATCTGTTCCTGTACAGAATAAAGTCAAAGAGGTTACTTCTGATCTACTATTTAAAGTGTTATTCTGCACACCTAACCTCTGAGTAACCTGCTGCAAATAGAAGAGTTGTTTCACTGTCACTGAGACCACAATTTGGCACATTATCTCATTTTATTCTACATGAGAAGCAAAAATCTGAGTAATGTCTAAAAATGTACCACTCCTTGTTTTCCTCCATAGACACCAGACAGATGCTGGACCCTGTCCCATAGTCTCCCTTTAAGTCCATCAGTACAGCCCTTGCCCTGCCTGTGCTCAGGGCCAAGGGCAGTGCATCCCAGTACTGGCCACTAGAACTTCCTGAGGAGGCTCAAGAAAAGGAAATGGTTACACCTCACGTTTAGCAACCTGCAGCCCAGGGGCCACCTTAACTGAAGCTAGCAGCTCAGAAATGCTCTTTTTCATAAAGGCGTTTCTCCAAACGCGAGACATGAGATAGGTCACGAAAGCTGGATTTGGTTGGCTCACTCATGGCTGGCTTGATCTGACCCTCAGAGGGACAAATTCACCATTGATAGAACTCCGCCAATAAAAGAGGACTTCCACCAGGCATTGGGTTGGTCTGGAAAGTACATAAGTGCAAGTAGTTTGATCAGGAAAATCAAAAGGCAAGCAGAATTATGCAAAGGACTGGGCAGTCTAATCCTCTTCCACCACCATCTGTAGACCCCCATGCGAATGTACTGAATTACATTTGCCAAAGAGTTTCTTGTGTTGATTGTTTTGATTTACAGTCGGTGGATGCATTGTAAAGCAGTATTATAGCTAAAGTCTAGTAGCTGACACAGGGATTTATGTGGTGATATTATGCGGAAGAAAACCATCAATATTCATATAGATTCCATTAGACTGGACTATGCAGGAAACGCAAAAATTTACCAATTATTTAATATTATGTTATTTGCAAAAACAATTGCTGCTTTGTAGGAAGATAATGTGTGTAATGTGAAGGCAATTCCTCTTGTATATAAGTTCATCTCCATCTTCATCATGGTAGTTATTAAAACAGCCTCGTCTCATCCTGTAGATAAGGAACACTCTGTCTGTACTGTGCAAGTCTTGTTGTGCTCACTGAAAACAAAACACTGTGTTCAATAAAGCACAGCACAAATCCAGAACTTGAGGGAACAGCCAAACCTTGGGAGGACCCCTTTCCCAACTGGCCAACAGTTGCTTTACTATAAATGGATTCTCTTTCATTATTATTTTAAAAGTCTTACAGGAAAAAAAGAAAAAAAAAAAAAAAACACACACAAAAAAAAAAAGGAGGAAAGAAATTGCTATGCAAAACCAGTGAAGTCTGTGACTCAGATTTCTCTCCTCCATTCTGCTGTCTCTTCCCTTTCTCTCATTTCTTTCTCATACTCTAATTCACTTCTATCTCTCTCTTTTACTGTTTTTCATTCCCAGGGCACTTTTCTATCCAGATCAGCATTACTGGTATGGGAGTAGGTATCTGGGAGTTCAGACTCCCCAGTTCTCCACCTGGCTCCAGTGAACCTTTGTCAAGTTCAATTTCTCCCTTATGTCTCAACTCCAATCTTCTGTAAAATGGGGATAACAGTAGTTCCTAGTCCACAGAGGTACGGTGCAGCTGAATTAATTAGCACCAGCTCACCTTTAAGATCCTGGAAAGAAAATTCTGTTGCAGTGCTAAGTATTATTCTGAATAATAATGAACATTTCCATTACATTTCTCTCTTTTTATTTTTCTCACAAATAGCTCTTCATTTCTTTGTTCTTCTTCTTTAGCTCTCCCTTCATTTCTTTCACATCATTCTCAGCTCTTCTGCTATGGTTGCTTTATCTAATGGACCAAGCAGAAATGCTGTGCATCTTCTCCTGTAACAGTTTTTCTTGTTTGTTTGTTTGTTGGTTTTTTTTTTGTTTTTTTTTGGTTTTTTTTTGAGAGGGAGGAATCTTGTGAGTTCTCCAATGCCATACTTTGCTGGGAAGAACAGGGACCATGCTATTAAAAACTGGGCAGCACTTTTGAGTCCTGTTCTCTGCAGCTCTCATGTCCTTTTGGCCCAGCAGGATGGGGGCTAGAAGCTGGATGGCTTGCACAGGGCAGATCTGTTAAAACCTGGGGTGGGAGGTAAAGCAGCCATGAGCCCTGCTGTGTGGAAATGGGGCCACACTGCATGCTCTGTGACCCACCAGCAATGATGGGTCACATTCAGAACACGACCAGAACTGAAGAAATGAACGTGAGGCTGACAAACAAACCTCAAAAAGGAAACAAAAAAACCCTGCACCTACTTCTCTTCTTGAGTATAGATTAATATACGTACATCAACATTTTCCTAAAGGAATTTTTTGGCTTACTGAACTGTTGGAAAAAAAAAACCCTGTCTTCCCTAAGGAAAAGCAGGCCTCTCAGCAGAGAATTATAGCTGCCTTTGGGGTCTGATAGAATGGGGGCTTCTAGAGGACCCCACACATACCATGTTGTGTCCTTGGCTGGGTCCAAGACAGTGGCAAACTTGCAAAGCAGGAAGGAGGGAACAAACAACAGCAATTAGAGAACTGAAAGCAGATCCAACCTTATGCAGCTCTGCTGATGCTCTCCAGGCTGAGCAAAGCATGAGCCCATGGAGAGGACCAGTGCCAGGTGCAGGGTAATTTCCATTCTAGGCTGCTGCAGCCATTCTTGGCTTTTCCTCATCGCTTCAGTTCTGTTCAATTCTTTTCCCTTTTTGTGCACATGAAAAATAAAAACCTTTTTTTTTTCTTTTTTTTTTCTGTATGTCATTTTGGTAGCTTCTGGCTTGTTTCTCCTCCCCCCTCTCTCTCATTCCCTCAGCACTCCTCTCTATCCAGCAGATTCCCTTGAGCTCTCCGGGATGTTATGTTTGCCACACCTAGCACCCTTCAGGCACCATGTAAACAACACCATGATTGCTGGTCAGCACCACACCACATGACAGAAGGCACTGCGCATGAATGCAACCCCTCCCAGCACAAGCCAGCCTCTGAGCCCCCACCTGCCATCCCGCTCCGGTTCATTGCCAGCGGGACTCCGTCTGATATCGATCTCACTCAACTGATCCCCAGTGATCCATAACACATCTGGTGTCCCCAGGTACCTCAGAAATGAGAGTGCTGCTGGGTAGCCACCACGTCATGGCGTGGGACGACCCAACGCCCTCTGCCACTCTGCACCTGTTTCCCCATAGCCCACGTTGGGATGAGCAGTACCTGCTCTGCCTGCCTCTAACATCTCAGAGGAGTGATCAGCACCTCTCAGGTCTCACTGCCCCTCCTCTGCTGCTCCATTAGAAGCAATTTTTAGCTCAATTTTTAGCTCCATTAGAAGAATCCCTTTCGCCTGACACTGTGTTCCAGCTTGCTCTTGCTGAACTTCTATCTTGGTCAACACAAGGCAAAGGCAAATGCAAAGTCATTAATAACCCATTCTCCAAACTACTCGTTGTTCTCCTAACAAAGAGCTAGACATTATATTAAGGTATGCTGTAAACACACCCAGTAATGAGGTATTCGCTCGATTTTTCCTCAGTCAAGCATTAATTCTCCAGGAAGTCGAGCGCAGTTTAAGGTCATAGAGGCGGAGTAAAAATGTAGCAAGGAGTCAGGCTAGGCTAAATCAATTCTCCTTCTCCAATTCCCAATCATTTACAAATATTTTCACAACAGCCCATGAAATCAGAGGGCCAGATTTTCTGGTGCTGTGTGTGTATCGCAAGGAAATCCGTGCAGGAACGCTGTCAGGAAACCAAATGCTTGCACAAAGCTTTCGCTCAGCAGACAGTTAAAACATTTCCTATTCTTTCAGTTTATGCTTTCCCTTTCAATATTAATAGAGTAGGCTGAAAATCTTCAAACAGGGCATTTTCCATAAGTGAAAGTCAATTTGTGGAAATCCAAACAGTCTGTAAAAGCAATTCAATTTTCACAACACTGCAGTAAAACTGCCTGGCAGCTCGCTAGAAGCAGGGAGCCTGCCTTGCAGGGCTCACCCGCTAGGCAGGTGGGCCCAGAGCAGGCTCCAAATCTGAGCAAAACCAGATTTCTATGTTCTGAAATTTCCCATACACCAGGATTACCTTTCTCTACCAAAATTTAGGTGACTTGAGTCCAACAGTGGACTAACATACAACATCCCATTTGTTAAACTGAGTAGAATTTACTGCTGTGTGCTCACTGTCAGAGGCAAAGCATCACACACACGTGCACCAGAAAAAAGCAAAAAGGCTTTTCAAAATTCATCCTGATAAAATAGTATTAGAAGAAAGATTGAGAAGTAAACATTTGAAATCCCAATGCATTCAACCCAGAAAATTGCACCCTGAGGTTTCTATATAAGGCTCCATAATAGGTAGCTGTAGCATTGCAAAATTTTCACAACTTCCAAGAATTTATGTATCTAAAAAAAAAAAAAAAAACTTGCACAAAAGAACTATTTCTACAACTCCAACTTGTCTTATGCTCCTTTAATAATTGACCCGAACTGACCATTGACATTCTCCCGTAATCAACAGGCAATCTCAGTGTGAAAGCGTGGTGTGATAAAACTACAGAGATCACCATTCTGTCTACAATGAAGGAAAATTACATTCTAAGAGACTGGGCAATATTAAGAAAAGATATCCATTTTATAACTAAAAGAAAAGTTGGAACATTCTGAGATTTTAACAATTGTCTTCAAAAATAAATTCTTTAGTAAGGTGTAGACGAGGAAAGCATTGGAACATGTAAGCATTCACAGTGCCAGCAACCTACCTAGATGATACACACCCAAAGATACTGAGTGGGCTGGTGGATGAATTTACTGATCACACACAGCAGTCCCGAAAAGCTTAAAGGACCTGGGGAATGGCAGAGTGGAGAATAGCAAACACAACCCCTCTGTTTTAAAGGGACAAAAATGATCCTGAAAATTACCATCCAGCAAATCAACACACTGATGCTTGTACCCTAAGTGAAATATTTTAAATATTAAGGGAAGATGAGGTCACTGAACAAGTAGCCATTTACGAAGATATGCATGGTAAACAGGCTGCACATAAACTCTTGACTGCTTTAGAAATAGAAAAAGCTCAGAACATCCTCAGGACAGTTAACTTCTGTGATTCAGGAGCTTCTGCAGTGAAGCAAAGGAAGTTTGTTAGAGCCCGTATTGCCTGCTCCTAGTACTCAAAAATTGTGAACCAAGTCCACAAAAAATCATAAGATCTATTGGAAATTGTGTGATTTGCATATAACACAATACTATTTTGTATATATGAATATATACATATATAAGATAAAAACAAAACAACTTTTGACTTCTAATTTTATCAGTCTCAAGACCACTATGGCTACATCAGTAACTATACCCCTTTTACTCAAGAGCCTGAAACGTACTTATTGCAGTAAGAAATGAGCATCTCACCTCCTCACAAGGACCCTATGGTTTGCTTTAGGAAGCAGCTCAAGTGTTACAAGACCAGGCGACAGCCCTCTAAATGCTGGCCATTCTGACAAAAGCTGGCTTGATACTGGAGCGTGTCAGCAAATATTTGTTTTTTTTTTCCCTGCCTTCTGCAGTGTTTTAGTAGAAGCTGCCCATCCAAAGCAGATTTGATCAGTGTGACTTCAAAAGCCTACCTAGGAGCTGCAAATTCATGCTATGCCAGTTGCTTGGAAAGGGCCTTTTGCCGCTCTCCCTCAGCAGGAGAAACCCCACTGTCAGCCCTGGCCACTTCCTGCAGCTCCTGCTTTCTTTTCACTGCTGTCCTTTCTTTCAACACTGCTCTCACTGCCTTGCTCAGCCTCCTGCTGCAGACACGACTCCTCTGCACAGCCCCTCGAAAACACGATTCTCTGTGAGCAGGCCTTGGCGCAGAGGCAGCAGCCCCTTCACCACTGGCACCCCGACTTGCTGCGGCCACGGCGTATCAAATGCTGAGCAGCCTGAACTGAAAGCACCTGTGACTTCAGCATGGGTGAGAAAAGCGTTAACGGACTGCCTCGGCTCAGGGCAATGCACAGCCATGGTTTCATCCAGAACTACACGCCAGTCTTTGCAGGAAGACAGGCCTTCAGCTCCGAGAAATGTAACAAAAATGGCTTCACTTTTAAATTGTCTTTTTCCAAAACATATTCCTTACATCAGAATCGCCCTGGTTTTGCCTCTCTGCCTGTTCGGAAGGAAATGAATCATTCTGCTTTAAGAGACACGCTGACAATGAAATATCACAAACATTGTGATTTCCAGCCCGAGACCAATTTCAAACACACCCTGTTGAACACTTACAAAAAGAAGACGCTCAAAACCTACACAGAAAACCCGAAGGGTATAAGACTGAGCAGTATGAAATTTCACACAGCGCCGTGCTGCCGTTTGCAGAAGCAGCAGCATTTTTCCTCAGCAGAAGCCCCGCCAGCACGCAGTCCATCTGCAGACCTCACCTGGCACCTGCCTGAGCTGCAGTGCTCAGCAGTAGGCGCCAGCCACGTTGGCACTTCCCAGGCTTACATAGGACAGCTGGATCACCGTTAAACAGCAAGTTGACCCAAAGCCCCTTACTATCAAGCCACTTTCTCTAATATCAGGGTCAGTACTTTTACACTGTTTTAAAAAGCTTTACTTTGCTTTTACAGAAACTGCTTTTAATGTAGATGGGAAAAGTGAGCTTGTGGATCTAGATTCCCTATACTGGCAGCTATTCTTCTACCAATTGTTTTTTGTTCTCACTGTTCGCTAATTGAAAAAGATTGAAAATCACTCCTCCAGACACGCTTCAAATCTCAGAGCATGACATAAAAGCCAGGAATCCAAATTTCTCCCAGCAATGCCTAGCTAACAAACTAGCTGCCTAACCCACTGGGAAAGTTTATGTATCCTATCCCCTGCTAAAGCTGAGCAGAAATAGGATAATGGCTTGCTTGCGCTAGCAGCTGAGACAACCTTTTATCTCAAGCAGAAACAGTCTGCACTCAGAAGCTCCAGACTGATTGTGTATAGAATTATCATTCTTAAATGTCAAAGATTGCCTGTTTTAAATTGAAAAGTACTATAGGGGGGAAAAAAAAAAAAAAAGTAGTAAACGAATTGAGCTAAATCTGCAAAGCTGAGCACCC